AATTTATATATATATATATATATATATATATATATATATTAAAATGTCAAATCAAATAAAAAATAAGAAAAGGGTCCTTTGCCATTTCAAGCTGCCATGGGAGTAGCTTTTAAGAAAAAGGGGCAAGGGCTAAAGCATAAAAAAAACTAACTAAATATCCTAACACCACCTCTTTCTATATCCCTCTCCTCCCCTCTCTCTATCTCTAAAATCAAAGAGAAAGATATTTTCTCTCTCTAAACAAAGAGAGAAAATCCAATTTTCTCTTTAGACTTCTCTTCATTTCTCTCCCTTGCTAAACTCTCTTTCTCTCTCTACATAGAGAGAGAATATCATTTTTCTCTTTCTCTCTTTCTCGCTTTCTTTCTAGAAAGACAAAAAATCCTCTATCTCTTTCTTTCTCTCTCAAGAAAAAGAGAAGTCATCTCATCTTCTCTTAGTCTCTCTTTCCAAAAAAGGCCAAAGAAAAGAAAAAGAAAAAAATTTATGCATCACATCACCGTTAGCCTAACATCATCCTTGCTGTCGCGCACCTGAAGGTATAAACCCCACAACTTTGAAAACTCCAAAACCCTAAATTGGAAAAAAATCAGAAATCATATGCACTATCATCATTGAGGGAATCTTTATTTGAGTCGTCGCCATAAAAAATTGGTCTCTCCCCTGCCTTATCCTATGGCATTCAATGCCTCTTAAACTATTTCTTCTTCATTTATCTTAATCATCTTTCTCTTTCAAAAATATCTGTCATCAACATAAATATGAGAATAATACTCCAAAATTTTTAATGAAAGAGGTGGTGGTAGTGTGCGGCTTTCAAGTGATTCCTGATGGTGGATATGATGGTGATGGCTACAACAAAGGCGGTGGGCTAAAGGTCGATGCGGTTGAGAGGAAGTTGTTGCGGCTTTGGTGTGCATGAAGGCGTATTTATTTGGGGCTTTAGTTTATGATTTAGGTAAATTTTAATAAAAATATATATAAATTGGGTGAGGTGTAGCCTCAATGCGGACCTCAGCCAAGCTAAGGTGCAAGCCTCATAAAAAAAAACTCAAGGCATAAGCCTCAAGGCGTTTTTCACTGGAATTGTGCTGAGGCGAGTCTCAAGGCAAGCCTCATATTGCGCAATTTTAAACAATGATGTGTATGTGTGTGATTCACATATCAAGTCGATACATTTTAAGTTAAATTGAAATAATTTTATTAGATCCATCTTCCATCTATGACATACTTATAAAAGAATGCTATTCATTTGTAGTGTGATTCGTTTATAGTCAATCTTTGTGAAGTAACTCATGTGAGACTGTGACTAGACCCAATGAGAGATTGTGACTAGAGTTCCACCTTACACCTTAAGGGCAATCTGGGCCCATACCCGAACCTCACTCAATCTCCAAAATATATAGAGACCTGTGGACCAAAGCACATACAACTAACTCCACTAAGATGGTTTGCAACACCAAGTCAAAGTTGCAACAAAACTTAAAAATCCAAAACCAAAGTTTCCATTGAAAATTGGCTATAACATCTTAAAAATCTCTTAAATCTAATAAAAATGGTGATTCTAATTTCTAAGACAACCTAAATGGTCCATCTAAAGCATAAATTGCCATATATTGCAAAATATTGAGACAGACGCTAATTAGGTTAAAGAAAAATTATATAATATGACTAATTTGTGCAAAATATGGGATGATATCATCGAGCATGCAAATTTCAATGCTATAAATTTTCGCCACAAAGCTTTAAATGATGAAAAGAACTACATAAATTAGATTTATTCTTAAGAAACTATCATGATAAGACTATAATGCAACAACCAAATTTCAATGGAGGAAAATTTATAAGCACCTACCTTAGAAAGCAGGGATTGAGTTTGCAGCAACCACATCACCCACAGAAAATATGACAAAAATTTAACAACTCACCACAATTATTAATACTAATACGCATGCGTTCCTCCTTAAGTATGGAAATAGCATTGGTAAGATCATCCCTGTAGAAAAATTTTATAAAAAAGTGACTGAATTTTTTTTTTTCATTTTTTTCATTTTGCATCAAAAGTTGCACAAGCATTGACCATTGATAATTACATCCGTCATTCATGGATATCTTGCTTAGATGCATCAAAAACACAATCTGATCGATTCCAGCATTACAAAAGGTTCAATAAGAATATTACTCAAAAGGATATGCAAGCATTCAGGCCAATTAAAGAAAAAAAGGGGGCAGGTACTGTAAATACTTGTATATCAGCATAAAATAGAACAATGTCAAACATGATGCCAGAATTAACATCACCTAGGGTAATAACAAAGTAAATCTGATACACGCCATTGATAATTACATCCGTCATATCATAGCAGCAAATATTGTCCTATTAAAATTCATCAAGTAAGACGTCGGGATATAACCTGAAGCAGAACAAAAGACGGAAAAAGCTAGAAAAGCCACTCACATACTCAACAAAAGCCTGGTTGCGGTTGGCACCAACGTTGCACTTGGTGTTGACGATCTTCCCAAACGGCTTGCAGAGTTCGACGAGCTCCTCCTCCGTGCATTCCCATGGAAGGTTCCGAAGGTGCAACACCTTGGAGGGGGTCTGCGTGTACCGGAACTGTGGCTGTCCAGAGGAAGATGACATATTTTATCCCCGCCTGCGATCTAGGGCTCGATGAACTCAGCGATAGAAAGCAGGTGTTTCTTTCGAGGTCGGAATCACTCGAAACGCTGGCCAGTTACGGCGGGGACTGTCCGGTAGGAAGGTGAGGCTAGGGCTAGATTTAGGAAAAATCTCCCGCCCTAGTTCTCGTCTGAGAATTCTTGCGAGGAAAATACACGGTGGATGTGAAAGGGATTTTCCAATTCTGCTGGGAAGGAGGAAGTGGGACTTTCAGCGTCTTTCTAGAATCCCTGCGGCCGGTCCATCTGGATCCGGGTTTGATCCGTGGAGATCCACCGGCAATGGGCAATGAGGGGTGATTTACGGCCGATCGACAATTTATTATGATAATAAAGCGATATGTGACATTATTACTCATAATAGTGTTTATTTGTGACATATTATCTACTTAAAACAATGCTGAAATCTTTTTTATTCTATGCCCTTATTGTCCTTATTTTCAATCATATCTTGTTGAAAAATACTAAGTAACATTACTCTTACATTTTCTTCCTTATTAATAATTTTGTCATTCTTTATTTGAAATTTTTCATTCATAAAAAGATTGGTCATAAAAAAGTTTGTGAAAGTAAAATTTAATCTGGCAAAATAGTTTAACACCAACCTCAATAGTCTTGGCAAAAATTATTTAATATTTAAATGACATTAATCTTATGATTCAAATGATTTTACAATGATTCATAGGCTTATATTAAATTGATAATAATTTGGATGGAGATCTAAACTTATTTGAGGTTAAAGAAAAGAGAAACCTTGTGCAAAAACTTATTTGAGGTTATAACTTAGTTTAGATAAAATTCAAATACATTTTGATGGTTAAACAAATCTTGTTCAAATCAGTTGTGTCTTTATTATACGTATACTTCAAATAATGTTTTACAACTGAATCAAATATTAGTATTTTTGTATTTATTTGGAATGAAAAGAAGATAGTAAGTCAATTGAATATTCATAAAAAATGTGTTATGAAAATGCCTATATTGCTAGATCAAGATCAACTAATAGAGTTCAATATGTCGTAGATTAAGCTTAATGCTTTAAAGTACCTTCAATTTAAGGTTGCTAATATAATGACCTCAAGCTCAAACCTATCATTAATACATTTAGAAGTTACGCAACTTTTTTAGAGCAAAAATGATTTTGAGAGGAAATCACATCAATATGCAACGAAGATCTTTCTATTTAAGGTAACAAAAAATAACCAAAAGATAATTGACATATCAATTGCACTTCTTAAAAATATTCATGGAGCACGTGAGTTATGAAGCTGGCCCAATTAAACATGTTCGAGAATAGAAGTTATGAATTAAAATGCACTTGCACATTGGATACTAGATCAAAATACCATTGGCAAGCTAAACCATGGCTAGTTAGATATATAATTAAGGGGAAGCTTGATGTTTTTTACCCTAATTTTATATTAAAAAGGAAATATCATATGTGTAAAGGAATTATGATGCACCTATTTGTCTTATGAGAAGGCTTATTGGTAACGTAAGTTATTATCAATGAAAGAGTCCTCTAAAATATCCTTTCATAAATTATCAGGTCCTGCTAAACTGGAAGAATTTAGGAATTTAGGGATAATTGTTAATCTTCATCTTGACATTTTAAAATGTTTCTAACATCTTATCTTTACTTAAAGTATATGCATTAAGATTTTGAAAGTGCAAGTCATTTAACATTAATTGTAGTTTTAACATAATTGTGATTTTTAATACATAATGTGAAGGCAATTTGTTTGTAGTAGTGCTGTAAGATGTAAATACATTCAAATTTATATACATAAAAAAATAAAAATTATTGGGTGTGTTAGATTGAAAGAGTCATTATGGTAGAAATCTTAGTGTACATATTTCATAAACATAATTTTATCCACAATCTTTCTCAAGGAAAACCACGGAGCTTTCGCTCATTCTATTATAATGAATAATATAATAAAGTTCAAAATTGATAATTATCATAAGAAATATTACTTGGCTTCTAAGATTTACTGAAAACTTGAGTTCTATCAACATTGTGACAAGTTAAGAAAGAAGAAAACTTCCATAACTGCTTACCTAGATAATGAAAATGGCTTTAAAAGATGATTTTGGGCTTTTGTCTCTATGAGTTTATATAATTTTATAATAATAACTACTTCATAAAGCTTTACTATTATTATCAAATGTGCATGTTCCCATTCAAAGACCAATTTGAATTGCATGTCATTGATGATGATATTTATGGCAATACTAATTTGTGTGAGATGATAAGTATATATAAAAAGTTTGATATGATTGGTTTCCCACATGAATCTGCATTAGCTATAAATTAGATATGTTGTGTCAATTATTATCGCTCATGCTCAAAATTTTATACGCAAAAAGTACAGTTGAGTATATATATAGTTTAAAATGATGATACCTAGGAGGTTACAAATAAAATAAATAGCAATGTGGTGCTACATCCACTAGTGAAATTAAAGAGTGGCCAAACAAATAAAAGTAGAAGGCCTTTTAAAGAAGAAAAGGATATGCAACAATATGGGTACAACCATAGTGTAGTATATAAGCTTTTATAGAATAATATGGTAAGATTTAGTATTGAATTATGCCATATCAGTAATTATATGGAATTTGGCATGTTTAGCAAAAATCCCTAATTTATAATTACCCAACCTTACTAGCACGTTGACGTTGTGATCATATGACTTCAAACCTATGTGATAATAGAGAGAAAAGAAAACAAGAGATTTGATTGAGAAAAGTACTAAATAAGTTTAGAAACTCAATCAAAGGATCAACTAGAGATCAATTAGTATATTAATCAAAGATAAAAAAAAAAAATCCAACATATCAAAAATATGTCAAAGGCTTATCATCGTCCTTTATTATAGGGATATGAAGGCTACAAAAAAGACTACACTCATAAAAAGTAAAAAGACAACATTGCACATAATATCTTAGACATGTTTCACCTCTTAATTGGATGAGCCATAGTGGGGGCTGCAGATCTATGATAATTTGTCTCTAGGTGAGCTCATTAAAGCTTAGCGTGCACGGGCGAGTTTAGTAGTACCAAGTGTATGCGGGCAAGCATACAAGCGAGTACTCAGCAAGGGTTCTTTGATGATACAACGCTACACAAAATATCTTAGACATATTTCACCTCCCGATTGGCTGAGGGAGAGTAGGGGCTGCAGAGCTCTGATAATCTGTCTATAGATGAGTTCATTAAATCCGAGTGTGTAAGGGCAAGTTTAGTACTACCAAGTGTATACAAGCAAGCATATAAGAGAGTACCGAGCAAGGGTTGTTTGATGGTTGAATGATGTTTAGGAGATGCATGTGACTTGTACCAAGCTTAGGATCGCTTGGAAGAGAAGGTAAGTGAACTGAGACTACGGAGAAGATGAATTCAATGATCGGCTGATCACAGTGGGTTAATTTAAGGCCACTTTGGGTAGGAGTTTTTCTATATAAGGACCTAGATGTGTGGGGATGAAAGTACTTGCCCTGGACAAGGGAGCATTGATGTGGTGTGATGTAAAATAAACATGCGAAGAGTTGCTTTGGAATTGTAACAATAAAGATTGAATTTGCACATTGCTAATTAGTAACTCATGCTTCTATCAAGTTAAATTCTTAGAACTTTTCGTTGGAAGATTAGATAATGGTAAGCCATTACAAGAGGTTAGCAAGACAATTGCAATAACAACAAAAATTAAATAGTAGTACTAATAGCAAGTAAGAAAAAATCCACAACGTAACATCAAGACATTGTCACTTAGAGTTCCTACTCACTCAATCACTCTTAGGCTTAGCGGTTGAAGATGAAGCATACGATGAGAGAAACTGTTTCTAGGAAGATGGTATTGAAGGTCTTTATTGATCGAGAGGTAGCCACAGACGGAGAAGGGGTAGATCTCCCATCGAGAGGCCAAGGCGTCTTAGGCTTTTGGAGATCGATCGTCTCTGCTAAGCAATAGAGGATGCGCTTGACATATCTTTCCACTGTTTCGGCGTATTCCCAGTCAGGCTCGTAGAAGGGGGAGAGGAGGATGTCGATTTCCCCTTGATCGTTGTAAGCGAAGCCGTAATCGACCTCAGGATCGGCCATGCACCATAGGTATGAGGAGGAGATAACACAAAGAGAAGGGGCGGCCAAAGGTGGAGAAGAGGGGGCGCTTTGGTGGGAGAATTAAGTTAGATTTGATAGAGGGGGAGAGGTTTTATTCCAAACCTGAAATTAATTTCAGGATTTGAGTAAATTTGAAGGGAAACTAATTTGAAAATTGATTTCAACTTAATTGTAATTAAGACAATGATTGAGGATTAATGGGGAGGGGCCCAAGCATGGGGCCTGCGGCATGGAGAGAGAGGGAGAGAGGTTTTGTGGGAGAAATTTAAATCAACTTACTAATTGGCCTCTTTAATTTAGGAGACGAATAATTCAATCCAATTTAATTTTAAAATTAAATTGAATAAGATTCAAAACTTTTCTAATATAGCTTTCTAATTTAGGAAACGATTTGAAATTCAAAATTTGAATTTCAAACGATTAAAATAATTTCCCAAATCATTCAAGTTCTTTAGGTAAGTAATAATGAGGTATTAACTCCTCATTCATGGGACAAAAAAAAAAGGTGGCCGGCGGTGGATTTGGGCTTGGACGGAGACGGGTGGTGGAGCCAATGGGGGGAAAGGGGTCGGTTTGGTGGGGTATGTTGACGGTGGGCTTGCGGAGGTGGAGTTATGGGGTAAGCTTGGTGGTGGAGATGGCCTGTGGAGATGGCCGGGTGGGAAGCTAAGGAGGCCGGCGGGTGGAGGGGAGGAAAAGGGGGAAAGAAGAAGATAAGTTGAAAATCACGAGGCGAGGACTCTTCCAAAGACTGGTGGGCCTTGCACTTGCTCACCTTGAGTTCTCTCCCTTCTCTCTAGTGCTCACACAAGAAGAAGAAGAAGAAGAAACAAAGAAAATTTTATAAATCATTCATCATTCTTTTACAACATATAGGGCAACTATATATAGGCCTCACAACATGAAAAAAAAGTACAAACTTACCCTCCGGGCTACAATGACAAGATACTCCCCATAATGGTAAAAGCGGAAAACAACAAAAACTAAATAAAACATCATGCATACAACAAGAATAAAACATAAAGCGTCAAAAGTAAAGACGATGAATCGTAGCCGTAGATCTACAATTCTGTCGTCGGTACACGTGTTTGAATTTCTGAGCGATGTCCTCATCACGGTGGCTACCACCTTTCCACGAGGAGAATGACGAGTTATTTGGTTGAAGAGATCCTCCATTGCCCCCCAAGAGGGATGACCTTCCCTCATAGGCCCAGGCAAATGAGGTCTAATGTTTCAAGCAAATTCCTCTGTGAGGCCCATTGGATATGAGTCTCCTCATAATCCACCGACTACTTGCTAAATATTTGTAAAAGTGGATGCGAATATGCAACAACGTGGCCCACAAACGTGGTGCGTTATGATGATATGATAAATTTGAGACTCCACATATGATAATTTCTTAAACTTGTCTTAATGAAATTAAATGAAAATATTCATACAGTTAACTTAGGCTTCATTCTGGATAGTTTTCTTACTGTTTTGTTTTCAAGCCACAAACAATTCATATTTGGCCACTACTTTTTTGCTGCTTTCAAAAAAAAAAACATTTATACAAAGAAGCTACTTTCTACAATAGCTTTAAAATGCTACTTTATCTACAACTTTACAAAACAATAAGAAAGTTGTCCCAAACACAACCTTAGTGGAGTAATCAAATGCCCAATTGAGTACTTGTACCATTGTTTGTTCATATCAACCTTGTTGCGTCCAGGAGTATTCGCGGCGGTAGAGAAATATAAAATTAACGTCTTAGCATTATATGAAAATTCGACACGCAATCAGATAAGAGAGAGTGTGTGTCATCCACTAAAGACACCGAGATTTTTACGTGGAAAACTCTTGAAAAAAAGGGGGAAAACCATGGGGCCTAGCCCAGTTTAAATGAATCAACTAGTATTGTAGTTGATTACAAATGAGGTCCTTCCTCAGGAGAAGGCCTTAGCTTGATGTACATTTTATAGAGTACATTACATGGTGAGAATACAAAGTATCACTATTTATGTGTTTGTTTGGTCTGAAGGACTGTAGTCGGTGGGTGACATAAGTCGGAAGGACCGTAGTCGGTGGGCGACGGAGGTTGGAAGGACTGTAGTCAGCGGGCAACGGAGGTTGGAAGGACTGTAGTCTCGAGCAGGAGTTATTCCCTCCACCCATCATGGACCGTTCGTCAGACGAGACGAATCCAACAAGCTCAAGATCGCTGAATTCCGATATTATTATGACCTTCAAATGTCTGGCGAACGATCCATGATCAAGGGATTCAATATCGGCCGTCCATTCAAACCACTCTACAATTTCCCTTGATCCTCCTCCTATTTACAGACCATGTCACTCTAGAAATCTATAAACATACCCCTCATTTCTCTTGTGGGGGTGAGCCAAAGCAAGGTGAAGGACCTAAGCAAGAAACAAGAAGCAAGAAGAAGGTAGGGGAAGAGAAGGAGAAGAAAAGAATAGGAGGGAATAACAACTCCTCGACCACCGCCAGAGTTCTGCCCAACGCCGGAATTCTGTCGGACTTCCGAACAACGCTAGAGTTCTGCTCGACTCCAGAATTCTGCCAGACCTCAAAGTGACATGGGAATTCCGCCCGACTTCCAAGTAATGTCGGAGTTTCACCAAAGCTCCAAGTAACATCGAAGTTCTCCCCGAATATCATCTAACGTCGGAGTTCTCCTCGGCCACCAACTGACGTCAGACTTCTACCCGACGTCGGACCTCTACTCTTCGCCAAATTTCTACCTGACGCTGGACTTCTGCTAATTGTCGGACTTTCACCAGACATCTATCTGATGTTGGATTTATGCCCATTAATGGACTTCTACCAGACGCCATCTTTCTGACCTCCGTCGTCAGACTACAGTGCTTCCGACCCCCGTTGCCCGCCAATTACGGTCCTTCTGACTTACGTCACCCACCGACGATAGTCCTTCAGACCTCCGTCGCCCGCCGACTATGGTATTTCTAACTTATGTCGCCCGCCGACTAATGTCTTTCTAACTTACGTCGCCCACCGACTACAGTGCTTCCGACCTCCGTCACCCTCCGACTATGGTCCTTCTGACTTACATCGCCTGCCGACTACAGTCCTTTCAACCTCCGTCGTCCACCGACTACGGTTCTTCCGACTTACGTCGCCCACCAACTACAATCCTTCAGACCAAACAAACACATTAATAGTGATATTTTGTATTCTCACCATATAATGTACTCTATAAAATGCACATCAAGCTAAAGCCTTCCCTTGAGAAAGGACCTCATTTGTAATCAACTACAATACTAGTGGATTCATTTAAACTGTGATAGGCCCCGTGATTTTTCCCCCTTTTTTCAAGGGTTTTCCACATAAAAATCTTGGTGTCTTTAGTGGATGACGCGCACTCTCTCTTATCTAATTGCGTGCCGGATTTTTGTACAACGCTAAGACATTAAACTTTATATTTCTCTACCGCCGCGAATACTCCTGGACGCAACAAACCTGATATCTTTGTAAAATATTGCATTCTATATCCTAGCAGTGGTAAACAAACTTGAACCACGCAAAGAACTGCACCATTTGCAGAAATCCTGTCCTAATCAACCAGTGCTGAATCGGTTCAAGGATTTTTCCCCGGTGTTAGTTTTCAGATAGTCTGGTTTTCCTAATGTCATAATTGCAGCAAAAGCACCAAGAAGATAAACATGAAACAGAAGTGCACTCAAAATAGGTTGAACCGCAAAACTGCTTACAAATTAACAACTATTATACAAACTACACCTAAAGAAAAAGCACAAAAGTCAAGCTCGAGTTAGCTTATATTTTAATAGTGCAGCTTTCTAACAAAGGTTGTCATAATACTTTGAAAAAATGGAATAAGATTGGCCGCGGTTTCCAAAAAAAAAAAAAACAAAGAAAATGCGACATCTCGCTTTTTGGATGCGAAAGTGACCAGTAAATGGAAGTAGAGGATCGGCCCAAGTGAATATATCTATATATATATTCTGATAAAAAATGGAGAAACCGCCACAAGCACAAATCACATTGCACACCTGCTGGCAATATCCTTTTTAGCTGCAAGAACCTCCGAAAAAGCAATTTGAAGTGCCTGCTTTGCAATATTAAAAGCATCTAGAGATGTTGATCCTTCCTTTGCAAACCTAATGACATTACAAACAAGATCACTGTACCTGGCACATTCATCCAATACAAAACCATTCTTCGCATCTTTTGTCCACCGTTTTAAGATATAGTGCTCAGGCAGCACGCGAACATCAACAGTTAAGTAAACTCTCAAGATATGCCTGCATAAAATGCCAGACCTCTCGAATTTGCAACAACTACAACTTGTCCTCTCCTCAGACGAATCATGGGTCACAATACAAGCGCACACATCTTCAACTTTTGTGACATTATATTTGCTGATCACCCCATCCTCGATTCTATCAGCAAAATAACCCAGAGATTCTACGAACTCGTCCTGAAAAACATCAAATACTGTCCTTGTGTATATTTCTGCGGCTTGTTTCAACATACTTGATGGAGTTTTTAATGTAGGTCTGGTACATGATGAAGCAAAATCCTCAAGTGCCTCTCTTTCGTACCAAACAGCCATCGCCTGATCGAGGATACTGATGAAGAACTGCAAGGACGTCTTTCTGTTGAAGTATTTTTCAAAGAACGTACTCAAACTCTCTGGTTTTTCAGCTAAAGATATATCTGCTGTAAAAGTGTCTTTGTGGTAGACTGGGGCCCATTTGTGGCGAGTGTTGTGCAGGCATTGTAGCCAAGAGTTCTCACCCCGGTCATATTTATCCAGAATAGACTTCCACTGCAGCTCGAACACTTGAACAGTTTCCGGCTCATCAATGCACTTCAAAAATTCTATCTCAAAGCTAGCCTCCAAGCTACCAAGCATGAAATATAGATTGGACAGTTTTTCCCTGCATTTTCTTAAAATATGGTCTCGACTGAGTCTGTGACGGGCCTCTGGGAACACACTTGAAATTGCTGCAGTCATTGCTTCATGATGATCAGTAATTAATGAAATTGGAGTTCGTCCACACATAGCTACAAGCCAGTTTTCAAAGAGCCAGATAAAAGATGCCTCAGTCTCGTCTGTCAGCAAGGCAAACCCAAAAGCTACCGACTGACAGTGGTGATTAATCCCAGTGAACATGACAAAAGGCATCATGCTTTTATTCTCCTTGCACGAAGTATCAACTGTTACAGCATCACCAAAACAATAATAAGCCATCTTAGCTTTTGCATCAGCCCAAAATACATTTATTAGGCGATTACTTTTATCAACTTGAAAGGCATAAAAGAATGCAGGACTCTCAGCCTGCATCTTCTTAAAAGACTCCAATAAAAACTGGGTCTCCTCAAATCCAAAGGCATTGTGATAAGTATTAGTTAAATCAGTTCTTGACCCCTGATCATTTGAAGAAAGACTATCTAAGCCTACAAATTTATCTCCAAAACTTGGCTTTGAGCTTGTTAGTGCTGCAGATTTTTCAAGATTAACAGCACCACTTTTTGCAAGAACAACTACTTCACTTTGAGATTGGATGTAGTGTACTTTCCCAGGTGCAATAACAAGGTCATGAGTATGATCTGTGACAAGTTTGGAAACAATCCATCGATCAGAATCCTTTTTTATCACCTCAAACATAGCTTTGCACCCTTCTCTCGTAGGAGTCCGGTTTCTTTTCTTCTTACTCTCATCAAAAGTCTCTTCAAATGGGGTAAAGCCCTCTTTGGTGCATACAAAACGGCGCATAACAAAGGACTCATCCCGTGTTGACCGACGTGAAAGTCTAATCCGGACATCAAACCCAATCCGAACTGCATATGCATAATAAAACATTTGTGCAGCTTCATGAGATGAAAACTCCATTCCAACAAATGGTTCCATGCCAGCATATTCTTCAGGTGCAACGTATCTTACACGACTTGGTGCTGCTACGACATGATTATGTTCCTTGACAAGCTTAGTAACAACCCACCTTCCATAATATTTTTGAATAACTTCAATCATAGCATTGCAACCTTCTCTAATGGTTGCACGCTTTCTCTTTTTCTTACCATCTTCATAATTGCCCTTTTTCATGTGAAAACCTTCCTTGGAACACACAAAACGTCTCATGATAATGGATTCATCATTTCTTGAACGCCGAGACTTGCTGATGCGCACAGAGAACCCAACACGACTAGCATATGACATGTAGGATTCCTTTGCAGCTTCTTCAGATTCAAACTCCATGCCAATGAATGGTTCAATATTTTCCGAGGCTTCTTCATGAGAAGGGAGAAGACTTTCAGAATCATTGAAATGACTGCTGACCTCCATTGCCAAGTGATGTTCCATGTTCTCATTGTTGAGGTCCACATGATTATCTCTAAGGGAGCCCTCATCTTCACTGGAGGTGCTCTCCATGAATTAGAGATCAGGACCTGCAAAGATTGGTTACAAGTTATCTACCAGATAATCACAGAAATAAAAAATTGGAGAAGGAACAAATGCATCATAATGATACATTGAAAGAAGAACTAGACACTCAAATTCTTGGATTTCTTGGATTTCATTTCCATGAATTGATTATATTTACCAAATGTTGAATCAAATCATCCAATATTATCCATAGAAAGATACCAAAACTATACAAGAGATGGGGATCAAACCTAAAGAGTGGGATGGAAGAGAAGAAATGTTGAGTCTAGTAGATTCTCCTTGATTGAATTGATTTACAGAAGATCCACTTGAAGCCCTTACAAGGAAAAAGGTGAATCAAACCAAGTTATAGAGATGAAGTAGATAGAGGGGGAGAGAGAGATTGTTGAAACGACTTTAAGATAGAACATGAAAAAGACCAACAAGATAGAGTTTCGATCAAAACATGAGATTATCTAATTTATATGCTTGACTAGCAGCTCCCAATTTATAAGTGATGTGAAAAGTTAGCGATACATGATCGGATACATGATATGATCATACATAAAATATGACTTAGACATGGCGTGACTAGTTGTGTAGTGGGCAAATATGTTATATAGTTAACTTCTAGCTAGTAACTTTGAACAATGATTAGATTGACAGTAAGTACCCCTAAGAACTACTTTGAGAGCAAAATGTTCGATGATTATTCTTCTAGGTTCTCTAGAAAGCACCCCAGCGATGGAGTTAAAATCAAAATACCTTCGAAGGTAGGGACAAGCGAAGAATAAGCACTCCATGATCTTAGCAAAAGAGATTAATAATTCTTTTGCAGATTCAAAGTTTAACACTCCCCCAAGTATGGCTCTAGTCTCAAAGAGTGAGAAGGATTGTTGTCTAAGACAATTATGTCTTTTATTGTCTCGAAGGTCTCAAGACCATGTCCTCTAGACATCGAGTCAAAGCACTTACTTCTAGACGAATTTGACTACCTTAAGGTAGAATGCCCAAGATTGCAACAAATATCCATAAACAATGAGAGACCAACGTCTCGTAGGGTAACTAACCGTCGCATGATGTTGAGAGTTTGGCCACTTTGAGGGTGTTTGCGAATTGACAAACAAATATGGCAATGTAGATTGTTATGGCATTCAGTATGATTAATTTGTCTATTGTTGGTCGCCCACCTTTAAGTTATCAACAGTGCAATTTAGCCTTCAATCTCTAACAATCACTAGAAAAATTATAAAGGAGCCCACAAGTGGGAGTATTCTCAATTGTATTTGACCAATACTGGTTTAAAAATGATATTAAAAGTTATATTAACAAAAATCCTTAGGCCAATCAGACTATTGTTGATATGATAATTAACAAACATCATCATAGTGACTGTGATGTTCTTGGAAGGATTCCTGGCTACTATTAATTCAAAATTGGTGAAGGCCATTGGAAAATCTGAAGAATTTTTCGATCTAGAGCTAGAATGCAACTTGCACATCCTAAACACAACTTGAGGCTTGTATGCCTCAATGCTTCAGCTTTAGCTCTTTTGAGAATCATAGAATGATGCCTACCATATGCATGGCCAATGGTGGCGCATCACCACTTTTATTTTCTTTAATCAGCACTTTGTAAACTCGTCATTATTGGTCAGTACTAATGTATTATTTCATACTTTTCACACAAATAAATTCCTTAACTAGGCCTCAAGGTGGAAACAATTCTTATATCATGATTGTGGTCCTTATGAAATATGTAGTGCTTCGATCACAGGCAATCAATGTTATGGGAATAGATGGAGATCTACAGAAATACTCCTTGTTGCGTGCAATGTCTAAAATCTTCGCCAACAACATTTGAAGAAGAGCTTATGTTGGATTCCTCATGTTAAGGGGCAACCTATCCCTTTTCACAAGGTTCACAATAGGCAACCCCTAATCTTGCTTCTCGAAGTAGTACCTTCAGTGCTGCTACTAGTACTGGCAAAGGTGCAGCTTCTTGACCAACCTATCTTGATTCTTGTGTGACATTTTTTGTTGAAATTAGAGGTGTAATCGAAAGACCCTACATGTCTGCAATGAAGCATGCAAGTTGAAGTTGTAGTCATGCGGCACTCCTCCCAATGATGTGATTATTCGCCAACTAGAGCAATTCAACCAAAGAATTAAACCACTTGAGTGTAGCGAAAAGGACCTTCCTAAATACTTTGAGTGATGTTGGGGCAACAACAGGCTCCAATTCTAGGATATCAAGCACTTTCATTAAAGGCAAATCATGATGTGACAGGGTGATTAGTCAGGCTCCTATTGCATGTTCAACAAAGCCTGATAACTCTTCAGCAACTAAACACTAAAGAAATGCATTTATGAAATAATATTTAAAGTCGACAAATGAGATAATGCTCCCCAAATGAAGAAGAGAGAACTATCGCAGCAGTGCATCCATGGAAGTGGTGAAAAGGAGCCAACACTTCAACACGTTGTTGATAGTGGGTGGGAGACGTTTGATTCAAAACAAGCAACATAGTCAACCATGCCTGACTTCCCCTTATAGGTGTGGCGATGGGAAAGAAACTTTGCCATACTCTCCACATGGAGGCAAGCTTGCCATCAGAAAGAGCTAGAACAGCAAATCCAAAGCCGAGCTTCGAATGGTGCATTGGAGAGATGGTTAACTAGCACTCTCAAGGGGAATGAGCAAAGGAAGCAGCTTGAGCAAAGCCCTTGGAGATCTCCTGGATCAGTATTCTATAATTTCTTGAAAGTCATATGGTCATTAGGTCGCTAGTTATGCCAGACCTTTCCTTATCTTCTCTATAGTTTGGTTCTTTATCATTGGCATTTCCACTATAACAGCACCTAAGAGGATATATAATTCAACTTTTACTATGAAATGACACAGATCATACTGCAGATATGGATTGAGCCTGAATAGTAAGAGAAAAAAGAGATTTTGTTGAGTATAAAAGATTATCCTTAATTAGATTGATTTATAGAAAGCCTGATTGAATCCCCTAGACATAAAATGGCAATTAAAACTAAGTTACAGAGATAATTCTAATGGAGATAGAATTTGAGGTAATTAAGAGAGAAACTGAGAGAGGCCAGTGATATAGAATTTTGGCTAAAAGTACAATATCATTATATATTTTTGCTTGACCTATGAACGCTATATATAGGGATAAAAAGTTGGCAATACATCATTTCTGCATAGTATGCCTACATAGAAAATATATATAACCTGGGCTCAATGTAGCTAACTTTATAAAGAATGAGTTAACTTTTTGTAGTTGGCTCCTAGTCTAGAATTTCATATGAGTTTCAACTTGAGGACAAGTACCTTGTCGAGTTATTTAAGTGATAAGCCTAAGTATATGAGCGCCTTCGTGAGTCAAACAAGTTCAGGACGTCAATATTGAGGGTAGAATAAGGTTGATACTTGGTTGACATTACGCATTGGGTGACTTCATGCTTGGTGAGTTCCGAGTTGCAAGAGGTTCAAATCAGTGACAAGTATAACTTAGTTCAGGCTCTCCAAAAGACTTGATTGACCTGATTAAGGCAACTATGGGTTTACACCACCTACACTTTGTGGCATCACAAAAGGGAAGAGGAAGATGGGAATCAATAGTAAACTGTGATCTGCACGAATTTCAATTTAATTTATGCCAATAACGAATCTTCCAAACAAAATATGCATTAATGAGAATGGTACAAAACGAAGAGCATGAGAAATGAACCCTGGTGAAACTTCCTAGCAGGTCAACATTTGGCCATTCCTTTGCAATAAGCTCAAACTAAGCTCCTAAACAATAATGAAGCCATACCATGAAGCTATATCTAAAGTGAGCTTCACGCCCTCCACCATCACAGTCCTCATATTTTCTTCTCGGTTTTCAGATTTTACCAGTACCAGCTCTGCGTGTTTAAATATGTGCAGGATAGCAGAACCTGGAGCGAACAAAGATCCTGTTTCATAGAGAATAGTGAGGAATGAAAAGCAATTGGAAATTCACCTTGAGCAGGAGGGGCTGGGAGCACTGGCAGTGCTGCCCAACGTGCTACAAACCACGCACAAGGAGGAGCTCCACCATCCTACAGGTTACTGACACATCGACGAAAGGATGATTTTGTCGATGACAAGTTCGAAACCAGGCACCTAGGGCAAAATGGAATTGATTTGCGTTATTTTTTATCCCCTCGGTTTGCTGTGTGCTGGAGCGAATATTGAACCGGATACACCGGTTTGGGTTGAACATTGGTAGAATGACTTCCTAGGCCGTAGAATCAAGACAAAAAAATAATCAAATAAAAACATTTTTTTCTATTTTTCCAACCACAAAAGCGATGACAAAATTTTTTTCAAATGAAACTCAAGTGCTACGTGTAACATATTTGACCAATATATTTATTTGCATTTTAACCGATGTTATTGCATTAATCGATATCACTAATAGAATTCTAAGTTATGGTTGAAGTGAAGGAAAATTTTTATAAGATAGTAGCGAGACCTACATTGTTTTATGGTGGAGAATGTTGGGCATTAAAAAAGAAGCATAAAATTAATTGTTTAAGAGATTTGAAAGCTAAGGTGGATGAGTGCTTCACACTATGAGGTCTCACTGCCTGTGATTGGGAAGAATGTCATTAAAAGAACAGCTCACAACATTAGATAGACATGGATAAAGATAAAAGAAATGGCCAGAGCTTGAAGAACGTAGGCAATTTGCAGAGAATGTAACAAAATCCACTACCAATAATCCATGGTACAAACTGGCTAATCGAGAAAGAATTCCCTCAACAGGTTTATAAAGTGTGTTTACTGGATGTTCCTCAAAAATCTAATAAGTCTCTATATTACAGTCTACCGTCTATCATAAAAGAGTTCACAATATCATATGTATTCTTATATGAAAAGTAAGACTATGCTGAATGAAACATACTGTGTTTTCCCATTGGATACATACACCTATGAACTTGAAAATGCAAAATGAGTATATATGTGAAGGTTGGAGTAGCTCCAGTCGTTTTAAATAAATTTTATTTTATTCATGTTGTTTTAAAAATTGGAAGGCGGGCCAAACCTTAGAACTTTGAAGACCATTTAGAATCATGATTACAGAACAACAGAAGGCTCACGGCTGACATCTCCTTCTTCAAGAAGGCTCGCGGAGCGGTTTTTTTTCATTTTTAAGGGAAAAAACTAAAACAAGCAGTACACATAATAAAAGCAACAGACTAACATCTCCTTCTTCAAGAACAATACCGTCTTCTTCCCTTTTTTTTTCGGGCGGGCGTACTTCTACACCGCAAGCGAGCGTTTTCTCCACAGTCGGCTTACAAGCGACAACTCTTTCGATTTTTCTTCTTGAGCTCTCGAGCCTGAGAGAAAATGAATTAGTTGAGCTCGTCCTTTGAGCTCGACACGAGCTTGAGTTCGAGCTGCCCTTTTGAGTGACGAGTCGAGCTCAAGTTTGCCGCTACTCGAGCTTGACTCGACTCATTTACACCCCTAATGGTAGATAAGACTAGAGAGAGTCGTCTTAGATGGTTTGGTCATATTAAATGTCAACCTTCTGATTACCCTTATTAGGAGAGTAGATGTATTAGATCTGACCTATGTTAAGAAATGTAGAGTTATACCTAAAAAAATTTGGTTAGAAAGTATTAGACATGACATTTTGTTATTAGATTTAAATGAGAATTTGACTCTTACTAAGACACAATGGAAAAGAAGGATTCATGTAGCTAACCCCGGTTAGCGGGATAAAAATTTGTCATTGTTGTATTATATTCACAAAAATATTACTGATTTTATTTAAAGTATGTACAACCTATTTATTACTTAATACAACATCAAAAATTGCCTTAATTGGGAATGAATATCTAGACATTAAATTGGAAACTTTCAAACTCTAATTTCAGCAAACTTATGGTCAAACTAAACATCCCCCAACGACACAACAAATGATCAAATCCAAGCCTGAATGAGCTCAAATCAAGATCTAGAAGTGTAATAACCCAATTTTTACATGATTAAAAACTATTAATGCACTGTAAATAACCTCATGGAAATTTCTACTTGTATGAAAATATGCAAGGAGCACTACGGCATTGTTCTTATAAGGCACAGTGGTGTCTGCTTCTCAGGTTTGAAGTAATTAAGGGGAGCGTTGCGATACTGGGTTTGAAATTTTATTTTTTAAAATATTCTAATCCATTACCCCAATTCTTAAGTACCTAAGTCATATTCCTAAGCCTTATTCAGTTGCATGGCCAGGAAGGAAAAAAAGAGAAAAGGGCGTAAAGGAAGAAGAAAGAGAGGAGAGAGATGAGAGAGAAAGCCTCTTCCAGGTGGTTCATGTTCATTCTTCTAGTTGCAAAAAATATTCTTATTGTAATATGTAACCTGAATCCTATTTTTGTTTCCAATTATTTTAAGTTTTAGTTCTCTATCTCTCTCAAATCTATTTAAAATATATTATCTTCTAATTTAATAAACTTTTATAGCATAACTTTTATTGTATGATAGATATGATTATCCTAAGCATTTTGATATGATTAAGTTGAAATTCCATTGGTTAGCCTTGCATGTACAACCTTTAACTGAAATGATCAAGATAAAAGCATATATAAAATAAGTAGAAATTATTGCATTTAATATGGATGTGACACACATAGCATGCGTACTAAAGTAGTGCATTGGGTATAACATACATTTGATACAACTTATATGAAATGCATGTATATTGACATGAGTATACTACTGATAAGATGTGTATATTGATAGCATAGAATAATGCTCACATGTTAATTGCACTAAAAATCTATATAATACATGATGCATGTAATATTATTATGATATGGCATATATGTGCAATTGTAAGAAAGGTTGGCTACTTATAAACTGATTTAGGTTGGTTGGAGCAAGATACCCTTTATAGGAAGGAGGGTCGATGAACTTTACTTTAAATTATAAGTCTATGGTATAATCTCAATATAAAAGACAAGACATAAGATATACGATATAAGATAGGGAGCTATAAGTGAACAGGCGATGGGTAGGAGTGAAAACTCTTACAAAATAACCACTTGACACACTGATACAGGACAACATCACAATTTATTCCTCTAGTTGTTGGCTTCATAATAACATCACAATTATCAAAAAGAAATAATAAATATAAAAATTATAGATTACAGATTTCAAAATTTATATATTTGCTATTTAATACCATTACACAAAATCTACAAAAATGGATGAACAACTTTGAAATTAAATTACCTTATTGAACATGAGAGACAGCTTGAAGCCCTCATAATCAATGCTTGAAAAACTCTGTAGATTGAAGGCAACATTTTCTCCAAAGGCAAAACATTGCAATGACCTTCCCCTAAAGTAGAAGATATTACCCCTGTGAGAAATATAACAAGAGAAAAACTTGTTGAGTTTCACAAAAAAATGATAAGTAAACCATTTTATATAGAAGGCAAGGCCCATGACGCAAAGGGGCTGTTTGGATGCAGAATTTAGGCCGGATTTGAAGCGGATTTGAGCTAAATACAGCCAAACGGCCAAAAATGCAAAACAAAATCTCACGGTAAATCAAAACCGCGTTTGATGGAAAATTCCCTCTTTTCGTGTTAAATCCCGGATTTACGAAATCCTTTGGTTCGGCGGATTTAGGGGATTTAGCCGAAGAAGGGCGCGAAAGGGAGAAAGTTACCTTCACAGCAAGCGAGCTCCCGTTGTTGCTTCCGATAAAAAAACGTCGTAACTTCCGATCCAACAGTAAGGGAACGTCGTCGAAGGAGCGAAGACTGCGAAGTCGACCAGCGACGAAGAAAAAACTCTACACTCATGAGAAGCAACGAAGCCGAACGAAATAGAGAAGAAGGGAAAAGTAAAACCTAGACTTATTGTTGGATAAGATTACTTAATTAATATAATTTAAAATATTAATAATTAAGTAAAACTAATTAAATAATATTAAATAGATAGTTAAATTATTAATAAAATTATTAGTTAAATACTTAGTTATTTTAAAATAATTAATAGGATTAAATATGATTTTAAATGAAAATAATTATTATAAAATAGGGGATTTACATGCATGCCACTTTATTATATGCATATTACATATTTAACATCCAAAAGTTAAATATTACAATCTCACCATTCAAATACTAATTTTATAACATTAATACCACTCTGTCTTCTAAATCCACACTCCGTCTCTTCCTTCGGGCGTTACCTGTTCTTTCCGCACGAGAACTCCCTCTTCCCACCATTAGTTGTTCATATATTACCATTACCAAGGAGATTTGTAGGAGGAAAGCATTATAATTGAAGGATGGTAGAGGTGAAAAACTTCTCAAATCAAAAGCTCCATTCACATTAACTTTAGAGCAAAAACGAACAATTTGTGAATGAGTGAAAACCCTACGAGTACCTAATGGATATTCTTCCAATCTAAGCAGGTGTGTTGACATAAGGTCAGGGAGATTATTCGGATTGAAAAGTAATGATTGTTACATCTTCATGCAATGTCTACTACAAACTGCTTTTAGTTATCTACAAGATCAAATTTTAAAGTCCTTGATCGAGCTAAGTGTATTCTTTAAAGATTTATGCTCTTCTAAACTAAACGTAGAGAACTTAATTCTTATAGAGCAGCAAATTCCTTTCATTATGTGTCAACTTGAAAAAATATTTCCTCCAGAATTTTTTGACTCTATGGAGCATCTAGATACATTTACCATATGAGGCTATGGTTGGTGGACCTGTTCAATATCAGTGGATATATCCTTTTGAGAGATATTTAAATAAACGTAAGAAGACTGCTAAGAATAAAGCACGTCCCGAAGGCTCTAAATGTGAAATATATTTAACATATGTACTAGACAACTCAGTTTTGCTCGTATTACTTTGAAACAATGTCTCAATCAGGTGAAAGTACAGCACCTCAAAATGTTGGACAATCCTTTAATATATCTGTATTCAGTGGAAGTGGTGAACCTGTAGGCGCTAGCACCGTGCGCTATTTGACCGATAAGGAGATATCAGTTATCACATTATATATCTTGCTTAACTATGATGAAGTTGAGTCATACCTCGAGTAAGTATGAGTTAATTTGTTCATTTTTTCATTATTCTTAACTTTGTTCTAAACTCGAATGTTTGTAGGAGGTTCATTGATGGTTTAAGAATGAGAAGACCAAAAGATAGTGGAGAAAGAATTCAATGCTTGGTTTACGGTATATTTTGAATAATTTGTTTTAATTAGTTAGTACTGCATGCGATAAATATGCTAATAATAATATATTGTTCATTTAAAGGTACATACTGAATACAATGATTCGTAGTATCAAGGGCTATTTGAGTTTGCTTGGGGACCAAATAGATTAGTTAAATGTTATTAAATATTTTTTGTCAATGGTTATAAATTCCAAATAAAAAATTGGTGTGAAGGTAGGAAGACATAAAATTCTGGCGTATGTGTAAGAGGGAACACCCATATAAGGGATGATTCTGAATACTACGTGGTATTACAAGAAATATTAGAGGTGGAATATCCCGGTCATAGAAATATTGTGTATCTCTTCAATTGTGAATGATTTGATCCAGTACAAAATAGAGGTACAAGAGTATATCCAATTTACGGTATAACAGAAGTAAAGCGGGGTAGGAGATATGCAAAGTTTGACCCATTCATCATTGCTAGTTAGGCAAGTCAAGTCTATTATGCTAACTATTCAAGCAAATTATGAGGCAAACATGATTGGCTGGTAGTTATGAAGATAAAACCAAGTGGAGTAATTAAGAAAACCACTTCAATACCATAAGCACATCATGAAGAGTTTATGTCAATTTTAAAAAATCTTCCAATCAATGTAGATGACCAAATTCGAATTAATGAGAGCGAGTTGCAGTTAGAAGAGGTAGATTTAACCATAGATGAAAGTAATGACGAATCTGATAGTGCTGAAAATATATTATCATATAAAAGTGAATCAACAAATGATGAGTTAACATAAGATAAATTTAAATTTTTTGTTACTTCACTGCATTTATTTTATTGTTACTGTACTGCATTTTATTTTATTGTTACTGCAGTGTTATTTTATATTATATTTTTGTTATAACTCATGTTTTTAATATTTCTTATTTTTTTCTGCGCAAATGGCTTCAGGTGAAGAGCCTAGCAGATGATTGATCAAAAATATTTTTAATAGGCGCACCAAGAAGATCGCTATAGCTGGACCACCTAGGTCAGTACGTACTGAGGGGACCACTTCGTCTCAGCCTGCTACATAGTCTCAGCATGCTACACATACTCAGCCTACCACTCTGCCTTTACCCACTCCTGGAGCTAGTAGCCTGCAGTTCTACTCACTAGACCCCTGATTTCCTTCACAAGATCCCACGCAGAGTACTCCTTTCTACTCATATTACCCACCCCCACCTTATGCTGGTGCCCCTCTTACTTATCCATATCCACCATATGTTCCCCCATATTATCCCCCACGACCCCCTCAGCCAGCTATAGGTTGATCTTCGACACCAGCTGCACAAGAGCAGGCGATAGATGGTCGAATGTTGATAGCAAGTGATGGTGACACGTATGTAAATTCTTTTTTATTTAAGCTAACGAACATATTTATTTTATATTATATATTTTTCTCACATAACCTTTTTTGTAGGTCTACCCATCAAGACAACCAACACATAAAATATGAGACATCATACGGAGCAGATTTGACGCTCCTTATGTTTCTTGGAAGAAAGTTCCGAAAGAAGTCCGAAAAATGTGGTTTAGAGAGTTTGAGGTATTTTTGGGTATTATTTTTTATGTTATGTCTAATTAAATAATTTTCTTTTTTACTTAAGCTAACAAACATATATATTTTATATTGTATGTTTTTTAATGCAGAAAGATTTTTGTTGGCTGCCCCAGCACAATGATAAAATTAGAAAGAATTTTGAGAAGCGTGGGTTAACTCGAAAGCGTGACATGTTCACAGACATTAGAAAGTCTGACGAGCGACCATTATGGATTGGAGAGACTATATGGGCTGAGTTGAACACTGCTTGGTGCAGCGCAGAGTATAGCATAAGGAGGGATAAAAATCGACAAAATAGAGCTCATATTGGGGGCTTGGGTAGTTCCCTTCATACTGGAGGCTCCATTCCACATACTAAGCACAGATGATATTTGGTAATGAATTTTAAAAGTTTTTTTAAAATTTTTCTTTAATAGAAATATTAATGGAATTCTCTTACAGAAAGAGATGCTGGGTAGAGAACCAACTAGTGTGGAATTGCATAGTCACACTCATAAACGATAAGAGGATCAACAATAGATTGATGAGCGAGCAAGAAAAGCCTATGTAAGTATATGTGTTTAATAATTTCTATTTTTAGTCTCAATTATATATATTCTACATTCACAGGAGGAGTATATATGGTTTCAAGAGGGTCAGGTCGTAGCAGGTGAGGGTTCTTCTGGGGGCTTTATGGATTATTCTGAGTACCGCATCTGGTCACAAGCCATTGGAGGAATGCAATATGGCAGGATTTATAGTTTAGGTTCGCAAACTCAGGCATACCAGGGGATGACCTCTACTGGATTCAGCTTCACAGCAAGTTCACATGAGGCCTTACATAGTCAACAAATAACTGCCCTTTAAGTGGAGCTAGAACAAGTAAGAAAATCACAAGCTGATTGGCAAGTTCAGTTGCAAGCACAGATATAAATGCAGATGCAGGAGCAACACAATTAGTTGTTGGATGAAATGCGTAAAATGAGGGAGCAGTTGAGTGGAAAAGAGGTAGCTCCATCTAAGGATGAGTCCACGGATTTAGAGTAGTTTAGTTTTTTTAATGTCATATGAACTTGTTTAATTTTTTGAATCTATGTTATTGAACAATCATTGATATTTTTAATATTAGTTGGTTGATGCTATTGAATAATATGTGTTAATAGACATTTATATTTTTAAGTATTTGTTGAAGTTCTTGAGATTTGTGATGTGTAGATATGTGTTGTGGAACTATTATTGTATGTATTTGTATATGTTTGTAGGTGTGAAAATCTGATTGTTGCCTCGGAACGCAATTTTTTTTGTTATTGCTACAGGTTTCTAGCAGATTCGTGGTCGGTGGTTCGCTGGAAATGACGATACAACGAATATCTGTATCGTTTCCAGCATTTTATGTCTGCCAGAATTACCGGCAAAAAACACGCCGATAACAAGCTGTAGCTTTAGTTACGGCGTTCAATATGGCGTTTTATCCACTGGAGTTTCCAGCGGATAAGTACGCTGTAATTTTCATTGTATTTAACGCCGGAATAATCAGGTAATAAACACCGTTTTGTTAACCCATTTTTCATCGGTAATGCGTCGGAACGTGCGCCAAAAAAATTACCAACATCTTATATCCGTCGGAAGACATTTTCCGACGCGCACCAAACCGGCGTATGAAATTTCGACGAAAATGCGCCGGAAACCCAGTCTTTCCGTCGTATTTTATGTATTATCGGCGGATTTTGTCCACCGGTAATACCGGGTTTTCCTGTAGTTGATGTAATTCAATTTCTTATATAGATACATGATTTTTAGAATCCAATATCCATTTTAGCAGAAGAGACACATGAAATATATTATGAATTTTAGTTATATGATATATAAACTGTAAGTTATAAGCATATTTTTATCCTTTTAATGACTTCAAGTGGTCCAACATACATCGAACTCAACTTTCCTTCTTTGCCAAATCAGTTGATACCTTTCACCAGCTTGATTTTCACATATATGAAATCTCAAATATGAAATTCCATAGCCTAGTGCTTAACATCGTAATA